GAAGGAGTGAGTCATACACTGAATTTGCCTATAAACTGAAGTCAAACATGGTGGAATGGCTAAAGGAGGAGAAGGCCTTCGGTGACCACGCAAAGGTTATTGAGTGTTTTTTACTAGAGCAATTCTACAACCGGTTACCAGAGAACATTAGGCATTGGGTGCAAGACAGGCCAGATGTTAGCTCTGTAGCCAGAGCCGCAGAGCTAGCAGAGGAATTCGTCACACGTCGGGCTCACAAAGGCAGTGACAGTGGTCGAAAAGGGGGTCCCGATTTTGGGTTCAAGCCAAAGAGAGGGCCTGTGAAAACGAAGGAAGAGCCTGAAAGTGGGAATGCCCGAACCGTAAATACGTCGGAGTCGGAACGGAACACCGAACCTGCGTTAGAACAGCAAAGGAAGCTAGAAGCGAGGAAACCGTTCCTTTGCTATAACTGCCATAAACCCGGTCACATTGCGGCGCACTGTAAGAAACCAAAAGTTGTGTTTCTATCCATCAGTGGTAGGGACGAGAATATCGAGCTTCTCGAACCTTACATGCGCGACCTTGAAGTGAACGGGAAGCCATGCCGCGTACTGCGCGATTCTGCGGCTACGATGGACGTAGTTCACAGCTCGTACGTTGAACCGCAAATGTTCACGGGTGAGTGTGCTTGGATCAAACAGGCTGTAGAGTCGCGTAGTGCATGCCTTCCCGTCGCAAAGGTAACTATCAAAGGCCCTTTCGGCACGCTCGAGACGGAAGCTGCCGTGTCGCCGGCACTCCCTCCGCAATACCCTTACCTGTTTTCGAATAGATCTGACAAGATGCTGCGCGAGAGAGGGCAGCTGTTTGGGGAGGCAAATGTGATGGCGCTAACGCGTTCGAAAGCACGGGAACTCGCTGCGAAGGCAGTTGCCGAGTCCCCTTTAGCTGAAATCGGCCTGACGCAGGACTCCCCAGCAGAGGTCGAACTTACGCCAGCGTTACAACAGCAGGGGGTCCCATCCGTGGAGGATGAAGCTACGGCACGGGCACCATCAGAAATATTGGAAGAGCATTCCAGAGATTTACTTGTAGCGCCTACGTCGGAAAGCTTACAGCGACTGTTAATGGTAGACAGCATGGCCTTGAGGAATCAACAAGATAAAGACCCGAGCTTGCGAAACATCCAGAGCAGGGTACATGAAAAGATAGCCCCGAAAAACATAAGTTATTATGAGAAGGATGGCATACTGTACAGGAAGTATGTTGACAAAAGGGGTGTAATGTTTGATCAGCTGGTCGTGCCTCAAGCTTATCGAGAGGATTTACTGCGCTTGTCGCATGGAAGTTCTTGGGCAGGTCATTTAGGCGTCAAGAAAACGAAGGGACGGTTGTTGCAGGAGTATTATTGGCCAGGCTGTTTCCGCGACGCAGAGCGATTTGTAAGGGACATGCGACACGTGTCAGCGTGTAGGTAAGCCGGGTGACAAGTCGAGGGCGCCGATGAAGCTGGTGCCTATCATCACAGAGCCGTTTCGGCGGCTCGTAGTGGACACTGTAGGCCCACTGCCGGCGACATCGTCGGGGTACCGCCACGTGCTGACCGCGATATGCCCAGCGACTAAGTTCCCCGAAGCGGTTCCACTTAAAGAACTTAGCTCTGTGGAAATAGTTAACGCGCTCCTTTCCATATTCGCACGAGTTGGCTTTCCCGCCGAAATACAGTCGGATCAAGGCTCTGTGTTTACTAGTGCTCTTACCACTACGTTTTTGGAAAGGTGCGGAGTAAACCTAATTCACAGTTCAGTCTACCACCCTCAGTCTAACTCCGTGGAGAAGCTCCACTCCGTTCTGAAGCGAGTGTTGAGGGCGTTATGCTACGAAAGGAAGACGGACTGGGAGCTATGTTTGCCGGCTACCATGTTCGCGTTAAGGACTGCCCCGCATGAAGCAACGGGGTTTTCACCAGCCGAGCTCGTGTACGGCCACTCGTTGCGATCTCCTCTTCGCTTGCTTCGAGAATCGTGGGAAGGCCGAGCCGAAGACCCAGTAGTGGTCGAGTACGTTTTGAAGCTACTGGAGCGTTTAAGAAGCGCTCAACGGCTATCAGAGCAAGCCATGGCTAAAGCGCAACATAGGTCAAAGGTGTACTATGACCGCACAGCCAGAACCCGTCGATTCGATGTCGGGGACAAAGTAATGATACTGCGACCGTCGCAGAAAAACAAGTTAGAAGTGCAGTGGGAAGGTCCCGCCAACGTAGTTGAAAAGCTTTCTGACACAAACTACGTGATACGCCTGCCCGGAAAGCGAAAGATACAGCAAGTGTATCATTGCAATCTGCTCAAGCCATACCGAGAACGGGAGGCAGTGGTATGCATGATGGTGAACATCCCCGAGGAGATTCCAGTTGAACTTCCAGGGCTTGCATCAGTCATAAACGGTGAGGATGATGAACCACTAATCAAAGAATTAATATCGAAAGCGCAGTTAGAGCCGGAGCAAAAGATCGAGCTCCAGGATCTTCTGACAGAATTTCAGGACTTATTTGTAGATAGGCCTGGAAGAACCTCGGTTGTTACTCATGACATCGAGCTGACATCCTCAGAACCCGTGCGTAGCAAAGCTTACCGAGTGTCACCGCGCCAACGAGAGATTATAGATTCCGAGGTGAAGAAGATGTTGGAATTAGGCGTGATCGAGCCTTGTGAGAGCGATTACACTTCGCCCTTAATCTTAGTTGAGGTGCCGGGAAAAGATCCACGCCCTTGCGTGGATTATCGCAAGCTAAACTCGATCACCAAAGATCAGATTTACCCGATACCAAACATTGAAGAGCGCATTGAGAGGGTTAGTGGAGCTCGATATATTTCCACGCTGGATCTCGTTCGAGGCTACTGGCAGGTTCCTCTCACCGAAAGGGCTAGCAGATATGCAGCGTTCATATCGCCGTTGGGAATGTTCCGCCCTAAGGTATTAAGCTTCGGTTTGAAAAATGCACCATACTGTTTTTCAAGCCTTATGGACAAGGTGTTACGAGGACTAGGGGAATTCGCTTTACCCTACTTAGACGATGTGGCGATATATTCGTCCTCTTGGTCGGAACACATGCAACATCTGCGAGTGGTTCTAACGCGTTTGCGTGAAGCGGGACTAACTGTGAAGGCACCTAAATGCCAACTCGCTCAAGCTGAGGTGATCTACCTAGGTCACATAATCGGACAAGGACGCCTCCGACCTTCTGAGCTCAAGGTGGCTGCCATACGCGATTTCCCGCAACCACGCTCAAAGACAGATATCCGCTCATTTCTGGGGGTTGCAGGTTACTATCAACGTTACATCCCGAGATATTCGAATTAGCTAGCGCTTTAACTGACGCGCTCCGGAAAACTGAGCCACAAACTGTCATCTGGGATGACCGTAAAGAGGAGGCTTTCAAAGCATTAAAAGCCGCCTTAACAGGTCAACCTGTGCTGAAATCACCTGATTATTCGAAAGAGTTCATAGTTCAGTGTGATGCTAGTGAGCGAGGCATGGGAGTAGTGTTGTGCCAACGAGGAGAGGACGGTGAACACCCAGTTCTTTATGCCAGTCGTAAGCTGACTGTGCGAGAACAAGCGTATAGCGCAACCGAGAAAGAATGTGCGTGTCTCGTATGGGCAGTGCAAAAGTTGTCGTGCTACCTTGCAGGCTCGAGGTTCATAATAGAGACAGACCACTGTCCTCTCAGATGGCTGCAGTCCACTTCTTCCAAAAATGGTCGCCTCCTGCGCTGGAGCCTCGTTTTGCAGCAGTATTCATACGAAATACGGTACAAAAAAGGGAGTCTCAATGGCAATGCCGATGGCTTAAGCCGAAGCCCCTAGGTCATGAATTGGCCTCGATTGTTCTTCTTCTTGACATAGGTTTTTGTGTTATTATTTCTTCCGTAGTTTTGGAAGACCTGTGCGTCGTTAGGTGGGCAACGAAATTAGGGGTGTGTTTAGTACTTTGTACGAGTAATAAGATTGAGACTTTTGTGTTTAAGGTAAGCCTGGCGAGGCTCAGTGGATACTTGTCTCGCGCTTGCTTCTTCAGTGGCTTTGTTATCCTGTGTTTTCCCGTGGATTGTTTGTTCAGTCGACCGGCTCTACCATGGCGAGGATCTTGCTCTCCCAGAGAGAGGACTTCGTTGTCATCTGGGATCTCTTCGGACACCACGTCGGTTCCAAACTCTTGGCAGGAACGCCGGAAGAACCTGTGGTTTCCCTTCTTGCTGATGAAAGACCTGAAGCGGTGGGGTGTGATGATCTCACCACCCGGAGCTGCCTGGCGACCAGCCCCACCGACGAGCCCCTGCGGGGTCGCCCCGGAAAGGAGCTCATACCATTGTCTTTGGCCACTTTTGACTGTCGCCATTTGCTGGATTCCATTGTATGGTTCGCCTCCAGCCTCCGGCGAACCTCGACAACATCAGGGAAATCTGGCGGAATTACCTTACGAGACGGAACAGGGCCTGGAGCCAGGTATCACGTACCGTGCTCCAGGTTAAGAAGGATACGAGCTTCGACGACTGATCCCTGTTGACAGTGGATGCTGTCCCCTGCCATTCGGGATCTCCATCCGCGAGGGGGCAGTCTGTTACGCTTCATTTTACGCGAACCCCTTTGGGCCCAAATGCAAGACCACGGACAGCGTGCGAACGCTCCCGGGCCTGTAAACGTATCGGGGGTTGAGGCGCAGAAGTGTATGCCCAGACGCCGAGGAACCTGAGACGCTGCTGCCGCGAAGGTCGTCATGTGCTGTGCGCGAGAACGCGGTGAGCTCGTGGCTCATTCGCACCTGGCTCTTGAGTGTGGGAACGCCGGTGGTGTGATCCGTGGCGCGATCAGTCGCGTGATCGGTGGCGTGACCGGTGGCGTGGTAGGTGGTGCGAGCACAAGGTGTTCCATATTTGGTCATGTCTGGAGGCGCCTGACGTCACACAAGCGTCTGGAACCCTTTAAAAACGCGCAGGGAGAGACTGGGTGAAGCAGTCTGGATTGAGCCTCTGCCGGAACTCTGCTCCTCGGCTTCTTACCGTTGTTTGCAAACTTGAATGTCCACTTTGGTCTAACTATGTAGTATCTGATACGGATCCTATTTGGATCCAAGATATTAAACTTATTTTTGCAATGCGGCGGAGTGCTTGAAGCTTGCTTCACCTCCGCCACGGGTTGGCCCGGTATTGCACTACCTCCGGGATCGGCCCACTCACCCCTGCGGGGGTGAGTTCGACAATAAATTCAATGACAGAAAGAGTGTTCGAATTTACCAAGGATATCTAGGTAAACGGCGTGGGTGCGGCGAGTGTCCGAGACGGTGGCGTCACGCCGCCCCGGCTGACGCGGTATTCGCGTGCGGGGAGTGCGCTAGCTGTGTTTACACTTACGATTGCTGTGGGAAAATAAATGTTTCTGTGGAAATTTCATAATTGGAGGCCCCCCCCCTTTTTTGGTTATGTTCACACGTACATACTCAAGTTTTTATTTTTTTTAAACATCCCTACTCATATTAATAAAACTATTGAGGAAATTATCATTACTGTTTCGGAGGAAAGCTAGAAGTGTGTATACGATGTGTATGCATGTGCGATGTGTATGTATGTATGTGTGTAGAAGTGTGTATCTATGTGCCAAGCTATTTCCGCTTTTCGAATTCACCCGTTTCGCAACGAAAAATAAAAAAGCCTCTAGAAAATGGGGTTTGGTTGGTGTTTCTGTTTACAGTTGCAGTGGCAAGCGAAGGCATTTTTATTTCACATCTTCACGCGGCGTCTGAACCTGAAGACGCGTGCTCTCGCCACGTCTACGCATCTACACTATTCCCCATCACAAATTAAAATCGCAAAGAACGCCACAGGACCCACTCCGCACACACCTGCTGTACGGTGGAGCGGCAAAGCCCCGATGTGCTTTTCCTATGTCCACTGACCTTTGGGGTTTGACACGTCCCAAAACCACCATATGATTATGGGAAAATTTCGACCACCTGGGGTTCTTTCACGTGCACCCTAATCTGAGCACAGGGAAATGCAGCCGCCGCGGCCGGGATTCGATCCCACCACCTGCGGGTCAGCAGCCGAGTACCTTACGGCCATCAGACCACCACGGCGGGCATCGCCTTGTTGATCAAACACTTCATTTCTGAACACCATCTCATACCAGCTCATCCACCGTTGGCTCTCGTTAATTACAACGAACATCCTCGCACGCTCACCTCAATGGAATTGCCAGTTGCTGGAAGTTCCAAGAAAATTGCGCACTAGACGTACGGACGCACCACGCACGTACCTGAAGCGACGTGGACCCCAGGACGCGTGAGATCACGCCCCGGGCGCGCTTTGCCTCCGTACCCACTCGTCACTCCTCACAGCTTCACTAAGCCGAGTATGTAGAAGTCGAAGAAGCAGAACAACAAACCAGCCAATCCCCCACAGTGGGTGTGAGCCACAAGTGAAGGTCAACAAAAACAAGCAACACCAGCGAGCGCAGTGACGAAGCTATCGTAATGGGGCGAAATAATCCACGAATATGGCTGCACGTTGACGCACGGTCGCATTTGTGCAACCACCCGTGTCTCCCGAAGACCGTCTGTCGCGAGTCTTCGACGAAAAGCGCAGGCGAGTACTTCTCCACTGATTTCCGCGACCACTTGACGACCGCCTTCGGCCGCCTCATGTCCGTCCGGCACGATCGACGGAGCGCCGCACCAGCGCCTCGTACACGCCACCATAGCACTCCTACCCCTCGGAATCAGCAAAACTCGGACGTTTTCGACCACGACAGACAGAACCTGCCGGCCCGTTGAACGCTTGAACGACATCGCAGCGGCAAGTCGCACACTCACGTTCCGTCACCCTCTGCCACATGATCCTTCATTCACCGGCTTCACAACCCACGCGGTAGACGTTTCGCACGCATTCCCGGGTCTGCCTTTCACGGCAGGACCTTCGTCGACCTCGGTGCGGTGTTCCGCCACGTCGGAACTTGCAAGGCATATGTTGAGCGTGCTGAAGCAGCCAAAGGCACCACCTTTTTGCCGATGATTGTGGGCGTCGTTGCAGAGGCGTTGCTTGGGCAGCCGGCGTAGAAGCCATGTTGGATGGGTGACGTATTCACATTTTGCACAGTCATTTTTTTTTTTTCCTTCCAGACTTTGGTGCTCGAGTTGGACATGTACACTATGCATCAGTTTTTAAAACAAGTGCTGTAGCATCCCTCGCGACATGCCTGATAATGTTCGCCGGCAAGCATTTGGTGTGACGTCATGGGCGCATAGAGAGTACGCATGCAAGCAAGCACGCGTGGCTTCGACCTCTGGGAAAAAGAAGGTTTCAGTTTTAACATGTTTGTAAGCGAAACTAGAAACTTCAAGCGGACTGGGGATAAAAGCAATGCCGTGAAGCCAGCGCTGCCGCTGTCGGTGCACAATGCTGGTTGTGCATGGGTGGACGTCGGAATTGCTTTGCTACTGTTTGCCCGGCTTTTGGCCAGAACTAAGTACGAGGTGTGAAAGAATGGATTTTAATTACGTGCTAATGAATTGCATCGCTTCTCGGCCTTTTGGCTAAGATCAAAGTGTAGTCGTGTGGCTTGACCGCCCTGCACTTTTGATCTTCGTGGAAGCAACCGGAACCCGCCCGGTTACAGCGGCGTCTTTCTCCCTTCCCTCACCCAGCCCTATCCACGGCTACCACTGCTCTTGGGTGCCTGCTGCCTGCTGTTGCTGCCCGGATTGCTGCCTGCCTGCCTGGTGTTTCGCTGCCATCACCGCCCGGTCCTGCTCGCCTGGTTTCGGCGCTCGCTTCGCCGCCTGCTGCCTGGGTCCGCTCTCCTCCTCGCCGCCTGCCCAGCGGCGCTCGCTCGTCGCTGGCCTCGCCGCCCGCTCCGCTGCTTGGTCCTGCTGCCTGCTCGCCGCCTGCCCGCTCGCCGCCTGCCTAGCGGCGCTTGCTCGCCGCTACCGCCCGGGGCCGCCTGCTTGCCCCCTGCTCCCGCCTGCTGCTCCGGCGCCTCGCCAGCTATGTGGTCGCCCTGCTGGCCTCCCTGCCGCTGCTCCCGGAGACTCTCCCTGACCAGCGGTGGTCGCCGCGTCCCATGAGGCCGTCCTGACCTTCTGGCCGTCCCGCTTAGCGGGGCCGCTGGAACATGGCCTCCGGGGGCAACCCTGCTCCCGACGACAGCGAGGACGATGGCGACCCTCCCGTCCAGGAGCGCCAGCCTGAGCGTGAGGGTACCACCCTCACGCTCTTCTTTCCACTCCCGGCGACGTTTCTATGCTGCGAGGAGGGCTGCGCGACCGCCTACAACCCAGAAGTGTGGACGTCGCGCCGCCAGTCGCTGCAGCGGCACCTCGAGGGGGAGCATGGCGTGCGGATAACCCGGACGGTATACCACTGCACCATTTGCGGCGCTACGCTGGGGAAACGGCCGACAACGCATGGCTGCCTGGTGAACCTTCCAGCTGCTGCCCCTCCCCCCCCTCACCGGCACCAGTGCCCGACCTGCTCGAGCTCCTTCACGTCAAGGAAGGGGCTCTACAATCATGAGCAACGGCACCGGAGGGAGGAGGCACTTTTGGCCCGGCAGAACGCTACTGCCGGTCCACCACCAGCAGCCGCTGTGGCCGGTCCTTCAGGAGAGTCCTGCCGTGCAGGGGACACCAGGACGCCACCTCATCAGCCTCCACCTGGACCGGCTACACCCCCACATCCCCCCCTTTTGTCGGCGGTTTCCCCCACGCAGGCTGAAGGCGAGCTGACGGCGGACCAATGCCCCCCTGCCCCAAGCACCGTGACCGGGCCTCCCTCACAGGAGGTCACACCTGCTCCTATGGACGGAGATGGGGCCCTGGGGGAGCTTGCACTCGGAGCGACGCCCGTCGTCTCGACGAGTCAGCTGTCTTCGTGACTCTGCGGACGACGACGGCACGGAGAGCGCGCCTGTACACCAGGCGGACGATGCGGGTGACGACCAGCCGGGTGGTGACTCCAACCAGGCAGTACCTGCAGGCGATGACGTCAGCTCCTCGGAGGAGTACGCCAGCCCAGCTGTGGACGACACCGAGGAGCCAGCTCACCAGCAGATGGGGCGCGTCGTCGAGTTGTCGGCGCCTACCGAGCAGGCGACGACACTCGCAAACAACTTTGGCGAAGCGGGGCGAGAACCCGCCGAACCGACAGCGCCCCATGGCGACGTCACCGGCAGCAACTACGGTACACAGGACGAGGCAGCTGACACCCTGGGGCCCGAGAGCGCCTGGTTCCTGGCGGAGGTGACGGCAGAGCTACGTGACCTTGGCCGGAGCCCTGTGTCGGAGGAGCAATGGGCGCGGTTCGAGCCCATCCTGGACCGCGCCGAGGCAGCCATCGTTGACCATCTTCGGCTGCCCTGTCGGGGCTCACGCCAAACACCACCTCGGCGTGAGATAAACCCCGACAATGCTTCTCTCATACAGGGACTTTACAGGAGAAACCGGCGACGGGCCGTCCGCCTCATTGCGGAGGGCCCGTCCGAGCTCTGCCCCATCAACCCAGGCACCCTTCAAGGCCACTTCACTGAACTCTGGGCCCCGGTAGCCGTGGACACAACGCTCCTCAGGTCACGAGCCCCCACAACAGAGGAGATGGACACGTGCCCCTTCCTGCCAGACGAAGTCGCAGCCAAGCTCCGAAGGTGCGAAAGCACAGCTCCTGGGGAGGACCGTCTGACCTACCACCACTGGAGGCAGGTGGATCCTGACGGGCGGTTCCTGGCGGCGGTGTTCAACATCTGTCTCTTACACCGCCGCACACCCCAGAGCTGGAAATCATCGAGGACGATCCTGATTTACAAGAAGGGCGACCGCGAGGACCCCACAAACTGGCGACCCATTGCCCTTGGTCGAACGATCGCCAAACTGTATGCCGGGTGTCTCACCACCCGGCTGCAGCGGTGGTTGGGCGACCATGCGGTACTGTCCAGGTGTCAGAAGGGCTTCCTGCCGCTACGATGGGGTGTTCGAACACAACTTCGTGCTGCAGGGACGCCTGGACGACGCCAGGACGGGAAGGTGGGGAGCTGTGCGTGGGGTTTCCTCGACTACGCCAACGCCTTCGGCTCGGTCGCCCATGAGGCCCTCGTCGACGCTGTCCGCGGCGCCGGCGCGGGGGAGCCCTTCGCGGAGATCGTGGAGGAACTCTACCGCGCCAACACCACCTGCGTCGTGGCAGCTGACGGCACCACGGAGCCAATCGCCATCGAGCTGGCCTACGCCAAGGCTGTCCCCTGAGCGGCCTGCTTTTCAACCTGGTGGTGGACCCCATCATCAGAGCCGGTGCAGGGAGGCGATAGGCAACACAACATCCTTGCTTACGCCGATGATCTGACTCTGCTCGCTGCGGACCCCACCACCTTGCAGCGCCGTCTCAACGTCGTGACAGCCCTCTCGGACCGGCTGGGACTGCGACTCAAGCCCGCCAAGTGCCGCACCCTCCACCTATCCGGGCGCTATCCGGTGGGCACACGGCCCACCACTTTCACCGTTGGAGGCGTCCCGGTTCCGGCACTGGCGGACTACGAGGGGCACCGTTTCCTGGGGCGACCTGTGGGCTTTCGGGTGCTCCCGGACCAAACGACCGTCGACGAGGCCATCCACCTGGGCAGGAAGCTACTCTCCTCAATGCTCACCCCGTGGCAGAGGCTGGATGCAATTAAAACTTTTTTATATCCAGCTCTGAACTTTGCCATGCGGGTGGGCCTCGCCAGCAAGGGAGAGTGGCAGCGTTTGGATGACGAGCTCCGCCCCCTCATCAAGAAGACCCTGTACGTTCCGGCCAGGGCATCTAACGACTACGTGTACGGGAGCGCACGGGCCGGCACTGCAGGGATCCCTTTGGCGGCGGAGCTGAGTGACATCTGCCGGGTGGACGGGGCCTTCAAGCTCCTGACGTCGACGGACTCGGAGGTTCGGGAGCGGGCAAGGGAGGCGCTGCACCAGGTGGTCTCCAGGCGGCTCCGACGCGATGCTGACGGCGAGGACATCGAGGCCTACCTCTCGGGCGACACGGAAGGCGACTTCAGACAGACCCCCACTCAACTTCAGTCTGTCTGGACGGAGGCCCGCAAAGCCTCCCGTCGCCTAACTGTCGCCTGGGAGCTACAAGACCAGGGCGCCCGCATCACCTGCGGGGAGGCCACGGTGTCCGCGCGGAACCGGAACAAGCTGGTGAGAACTCTCCGGGCCATCCTCAGCCAGAACCGGGACCGTTCCCTCGAGGCGAAGCCAAACCAGGGCAAGGCGATGGCGTGTGTAGCGGCGGACCCCGCTAACTCGCACTTCATGCGGACCGGCCGCTACACCAGGTTCAAGGAGTGGCGCTTCATTCATCGAGCCCGGCTTAATCTCCTCCCCCTCAACGGCACACGTACCTGGGTACCTGCAGCTGATAAACGGTGCCGACGCTGCGGGTACAGGGAGGAGACGCTGCCGCACGTACTCTGCCATTGTATGCGGCAGAGCCGGGCAATGACGGAGCGCCACAACGCCATCGTCGCACGTATCAAGAAGGCTGCCCTGGGAAGGTTCACCGTCATCGGGGAGAACCAACAGGTCGGACTTCCCGGCCTGCGACCTGACCTGGTCCTGGCACGAGGCGAGGAAGCCTTGATCCTGGACGTCTGCTGCCCTTTCGACAACAGACTGCAGGCGTTCCAGGAAGCCCGGAGGCTTAAGGAGGAGAAGTACGCCCCCTTACAGCGACATCTCCTCCGACGGTTCCAGCGCGTTTCCGTCGAAGCCATCGTCGTCGGCTGCCTGGGGTCGTGGGATCCGGCTAACGATCGTGTCACGCGCAGACTGTGTTCAAGAACTATCTGCGAACAATGAAACGCTTGTGCGTCAGTGACACGATCGCGGCTTCCACGGACATTTACCGCCGCCACATCGGTGTACAGTGACATTGTATATAGCCAAAGTTTTTAGAGTTGCGATTTTTCCATGTTTTTAGACTTATACACCTTACAGTTTTACCGTTTTTAACTTATTGTACTAACAGTTTTTAACCCTTTCGTTACCGGATTTTAACTTTTACACTTATATTAAGTTTTCTATTGAGTTTTTTCCTAACCATTATGATGTTTTTGTACGTAAATATTGAATAAAAAGTCTGTTCTTATCAGCTTAATATCTGATACGGATCCTATTTGGATCCAAGATATTAAACTTATTTTTGTGATGCGGCGGAGTGCTTGAAGCTTGCTTCACCTCCGCCACGGGTTGGCCCGGTATTGCACTACCTCCGGGATCGGCCCACTCACCCCTGCGGGGTGAGTTCGACAATAAATTCAATGATAGAAGGAGTGTTCGGATTTACCCATGATACCGGGGTAAACGGCGTGGGTGCGTCGAGTGTCCGAGACGGTGGCGGCACGCCGCCCCGGCTGACGCGGTATTCGCGTGCAGGGAGTGCGCTAGCTGTGTTTACACTTACGATTGCTCTGGGAAAATAAATGTTTCCGTGTGTATTTCATATATGGAGGGTCTCTTTTATTTTGTTATGTTCACACGTACATACTCAAGTTTCTTATTTTTTTTAACATTCCTACTCATATTAATAAAACTATTGAGGAAATTATCATTACTGTTTCGGAGGAAAGCTAGAAGTGTGTATACGATGTGTATGCATGTGCGATGTGTATGTATGTATGTGTGTAGAAGTGTGTATGTATGTGCCAAGCTATTTCCGCTTTTCGAATTCACCCGTTTCGCAACGAAAAATAAAAAAGCCTCTAGAAAATGGGGTTTGGTTGGTGTTTCTGTTTACAGTTGCAGTGGCAAGCGAAGGCATTTTTATTTCACATCTTCACGCGGCGTCTGAACCTGAAGACGCGTGCTCTCGCCACGTCTACGCATCTACACTATTCCCCATCACAAATTAAAATCGCAAAGAACGCCACAGGACCCACTCCGCACACACCTGCTGTACGGTGGAGCGGCAAAGCCCCGATGTGCTTTTCCTATGTCCACTGACCTTTGGGGTTTGACGTCCCAAAACCACCATATGATTATGGGAAAATTTCGACCACCTGGGGTTCTTTCACGTGCACCCTAATCTGAGCACAGGGAAATGCAGCCGCCGCGGCCGGGATTCGATCCCACCACCTGCGGGTCAGCAGCCGAGTACCTTACGGCCATCAGACCACCACGGCGGGCATCGCCTTGTTGATCAAACACTTCATTTCTGAACACCATCTCATACCAGCTCATCCACCGTTGGCTCTCGTTAATTACAACGAACATCCTCGCACGCTCACCTCAATGGAATTGCCAGTTGCTGGAAGTTCCAAGAAAATTGCGCACTAGACGTACGGACGCACCACGCACGTACCTGAAGCGACGTGGACCCCAGGACGCGTGAGATCACGCCCCGGGCGCGCTTTGCTGCGCTTTGCCTCCGTACCCACTCGTCACTCCTCACAGCTTCACTAAGCCGAGTATGTAGAAGTCGAAGAAGCAGAACAACAAACCAGCCAATCCCCCACAGTGGGTGTGAGCCACAAGTGAAGGTCAACAAAAACAAGCAACACCAGCGAGCGCAGTGACGAAGCTATCGTAATGGGGCGAAATAATCCACGAATATGGCTGCACGTTGACGCACGGTCGCATTTGTGCAACCACCCGTGTCTCCCGAAGACCGTCTGTCGCGAGTCTTCGACGAAAAGCGCAGGCGAGTACTTCTCCACTGATTTCCGCGACCACTTGACGACCGCCTTCGGCCGCCTCATGTCCGTCCGGCACGATCGACGGAGCGCCGCACCAGCGCCTCGTACACGCCACCATAGCACTCCTACCCCTCGGAATCAGCAAAACTTGGACAAGCGTTTTCGACCACGACAGGCAGAGCCTGCCGGCCCGTTGAACGCTTGAACGACATCGCAGCGGCATGTCGCACACTCACGTTCCGTCACCCTCTGCCACATGACCCTTCATTCACCGGCTTCACAACGCACGCGGTAGACGTTTCGCACGCATTCCCGGGTCTGCCTTTCACGGCAGGACCTTCGTCGACCTCGGTGCGGTGTTCCGCCACGTCGGAACTTGCAAGGCATATGTTGAGCGCGCTGAAGCAGCCAAAGGCACCACCTTTTTGCCGATGATTGTGGGCGTCGTTGCAGAGGCGTTGCTTGGGCAGCCAGCGTAGAAGCCATGTTGGATGGGTGACGTAGTCACATTTTGCACAGTCATTTTTTTTTCCTTCCAGACTTTGGTGCTCGAGTTGGACATGTACACTATGCATCAGTTTTTAAAACAAGTGCTGTAGCATCCCTCGCGACATGCCTGATAATGTTCGCCGGCAAGCATTTGGTGTGACGTCATGGGCGCATCGAGAGTACGCATGCAAGCAAGCACGCGTGGCTTCGACCTCTGGGAAAAAGAAGGTTTCAGTTTTAACATGTTTGTAAGCGAAACTAGAAACTTCAAGCGGACTAGGGATAAAAGCAATGCCGTGAAGCCAGCGCTGCCGCTGTCGGTGCACAATGCTGGTTGTGCATGGGTGGACGTCGGAATTGCTTTGCTACTGTTTGCCCGGCTTTTGGCCAGAACTAAGTACGAGGTGTGAAAGAATGGATTTTAATTACGTGCTAATGAATTGCATCGCTTCTCGGCCTTTTGGCTAGACCAATTGTCGAGCTAGCCGTTTCTTTGCGCCTCGCGCGAGACCCAGGGTCACGTCCCGCCGACGTCGACCCCGGGGTTCAAGTCTCCAAAGTCAGCTTTACGCGGCATCGCCGTCCCGCACGTGCGACCGCCGCCCTCGGGCTTCGGACCTCCCTGTCCGGCGCCCACCCATCCCATGCCTGGTGAAGCAAGGCCCCCGGTCTACGCCTGCCGTCCCGGAGTCCTCCTGCAACCCACCCGGCGCCTCCTGTATCCGTGCGGCACCCGCCTCGGCTGAGCCGCAGTCCTACCAGTGTGCAGCTAGCCTGCACGATACCAGTTTCTACCAGCCACGCCTTCCTGGCAGCCAGCGGCAACGCGCACCAGAATGGCGTCGACGTCCGACCTCCCGGTGAGGGAGAATTGCTTCATGTTCACGGCGCCCGAAGGCGACGTATCGATAGATGACCTAATCGACGCCATAGAACTAGTGTCTGGGGATGATAGTGTATTTGTTCTACAGCACATGGGCGGGGCTAGGTTCCTCGTCTGTACGCGTAACGCCAGTCAGGCGACAAGGTTAATGGTGGCGGAAGGCTTCCGGGTTAACGGCGAAAACGTACCGGTTGAGGCCGTAGGGCCGCCGGTCACGTACGTAAATGCCTACCGGTACCCCGCCTACTTGTCAGACGAGGTACTTAGCAACGCCCTTGCTCAGTATGGCAAAGTGAGGGGCATATCGTTTGCCACTGTGGCCACTCGCCAAAACAAGCTCAACGGGGTAAGGGTCATTAAGATAGAGATGAGCAAACCGGTGCCAAACTTCGCGACCATCGCAGGGCACCGCGTAATGTTCGAGTATCGCGGCATGAGGCGAGTTTGCGCACGATGCGGCGAAGTGGGCCACATGGCGACGGCATGCTCCGCTCCTTTTTGTAAACGGTGCGGAACTTTTGGCCATGACACCGAGGGCTGTACTAGCGAATGTAAGCGTTGTGGGGGTCACCACGGGACGAGGGAGTGTTTCAGAAGGCGATCCTACGCGTCGGCCGCCCGCGGTTTCCCCTCGACTTCCGACCACGCCTCTAACCTAGCCCCACCTAGTGGCTCTTTATCGCCCCGGTCAGAAAAGCCACAATCGCGGCTTCAGGTGCTTGCGCCTAAGTCCAAGCCCAGCACGGCAGCAAGGGAGCGAAGCGACGACACCACAAACACAGACTCGCCTACTACCAGCAGCGAGGCGGATTCACCTGCCAGCGAGAGAGAGAAGAGCGAGACGAGCGAGGAGGTTACCGCCGCGCCTTCCGAAACAGAGGCCAGCTTCTCGGATACTGCTTCCGCGCAGTCCGCCCCCCCTTCACCGCTGGCACCCCCGTCGGACCAGGTGGGCCACGCAATTTCGTCACCGGTAAAAAAGGCGCCTGCCGATGACGTCACTGAACAGGGAAGGGCCCCCTCCTCCATCCCGCCAACGCCGGCCAACGTGCTAGCGCTAGTCACCTCCGAAGACCTGGAGGCCCATCCCCGAGACCCCGCTCAGGACGAACTGCCCATCAAGAGCAAAGGGTACTACGTGCTACCTGAGGATGGCGAGCGCAAGAACCCCACCCCGACTTGTCCCTCCCCTGCCCCAACGGCACGGTTAAGCCGGAAGTCTGATGCGAGGACGGGCCAGTCGCCCCACGGCCTCGAGCAGCGGTCACGCTCGCGCTCGCGAAGACGCCCTGGCGACGACAAGCGCGACGTAGACGAGAGGACCGCTAGCAAGGACGCCCGGCAGCGCAGATCAAAACTGGTTGGCCAAAGCAGTGACAGTGACGCTCCGCCCCACGCGAAGTCCCAGAAGCTTGAGCAAGCGGGTGGGGGCAAACGGGAGCCGCCGCCCAAGTCCTGAGAAGGCTACGCGAAGAACGAAGCGGCGCGCCTGTCCCGAGGGCTTCGCCGCCTTCCGCTCTCCCGCCTCGCCTCACACTCCGCTCGCCCACTCCCCTCGCCCTCCGTTGTCCCACTCTCACCTGGCTGGGCCCTCCCCCCATGGTACAGCATCCTGGTTATCTCGCCCTTCAGCATTCCTTCTCGCCCCAAGCGAGACACCGCGCTCCAACTGACGGATCATGGCCACGCTGCGGTTCGCCACATTAAACATTCGCGGCTTTCGCGACAGGAATAAACAGACCGCTGTAGTGACGTTCGCCCGAACTAAGGGCATCGACCTCCTCTTTCTGCAGGAGACCAACTTCCGCTCCCCGCTCGATGTTACCTTATTCAGGCGCAACTGCCAAGTTGACGGCTTTTTTTCTCTAACATCCGCGAGGGCTTGCGGCGTTGGTGTCGTGTTCGTCACAGACAGGTTCCGGCGAAAGTCGCATTGTGTTTTCGGAGCGAATGGGCGCACACTTGTGCTCGACGTCTTCGTCGACGGGTCCAAGGTGCGCTTTGTGAACGTTTATGCGCCGGTTACCAGATCGGACACCAATCCGTACTTTAAGGAGCTGCACGGCTACCTGCTGGAGCCCGCCCCTCACGTGGTTCTCGGCGACTTTAACTGTGTCGTGGACTCCACAAGAGACGTCCGGGGCCCGGGCCAAGGGGGCTCGACCTACCACGCCAAAGAGCTGGTGAAGATCCTCCGGCACCTGCGGCTCACGGACGCGTGGGTA